AAAAACTTACAATATAGAATTTCGACCAAGATTCAGCTGGGAATGAGTCAGAGACCTCGTTGCTGCTGCCATCCTGTAGAGGTGAAAGTATGACAAATTTCAATAATATAACATTTAAAGAGGAACAACCGCTTGGTGTTCTGATGAAGCTTAGGTGAAAAAGGTGGAGTCTTTAGACGCGCGTTCAATTCACCACTGCGAAGTTCAGCAATGGAGGCGTGAGCATTTAGCCATTTACCTGCGAGTTAGGACTTGAATAGGACGCAACCAATTTGAAGTTTTGTACGGAATTTTTTGGCAAGGTTGAGTAATATTAGTCTTGAGTTTTGCTTGGCTTTGTATTCAAAAGTAAGTGTTTGTAGTTTGAAAAACTTACTCTGTACTTAATTTATATTTAAAATTTAATTTAATTTTAACTCAATTTCACTATTCTTCCTATAATTAACTTCAGCTGAATTAAAGCCCTCAAAACCAGTGATTGTTAGATCATATAAAAAGAACAAAATAAACCTACTTGGTTTAAGAGATTGGTCTCAATTCGGAGGGCATGATATAGTGTTCCAAAAATTATGTTTCGAATGAATTAATTAGGCGTGGACAAAGTTATGAAGATTAGTAATTGACTATTTAATTAATATATGTAAATTAAAATTATTTAAAAATAGTTAGGAATTTGGCTTATACTAGTACATGTATCGTGAAAAGATTTGAATATTGTGGTTAAAAGTTGGTAAAATTGCAATTAAAAATAAATCACAAATCATTCATTTACAAACGACAAAATTGGTATATTTGCAAAAATTCTTTTTTACCTTTAATTTAATTTCTAACGATTTGTATAAAATATTAGCAACAAAATTCGATTCAGCTAGAACATTAAGTAGAAAAAATGTAAACAAATATACTTTGATACTAAACCTCCCCTCCTCCTCCACCTTATTATTATTATTATTATTACTATTATTATTATTATTATTATTGTTATTATCACTTTTGATTTATTTTGCATTATCCGTATATTTGATCCACAAATCACAATACATCATATTGAACTGTTATAATTTTTCATCAAGTAATAACTTAACATATTTATTAAGTTGTGACTAATCCCTTCTAGTTCTTTGTTGCATATTTTTAGGGAAAAAAAAAAGAGTAAAGAACAAAAATTGTTTAAAAACAATTGATGAAATTACACTGAAACAAAAAAATAAGGCACCCCCAATCAAGCCCTAGGGTTCCACTATATATATATCCAGCTCTACACTTTGCTCCTAATCAGCTCAGCCCACTCTAATTGGCTATGGCGGCCACCGCCCAGCTTATTTATAACCCGGCCGCGAAATTCCATTATAATCGCCTGCATTTGTACGAAAGCTAGCGAGCAAAAGTGGTATATATATTTTTTTTATTGTTTGTTTAAATAAATTGAATTATAGCTCGAGGAATTCGTTAATGGCTCCATACAGAGTCAGCAGCAGGTGCCCATATCCCATGGCAACCGTCTGCCGCTTGGAGCCTAAAGGGATCCGACCCGTTTGAAGATCCACGGAATCTGATCTTTTGTTGTTTCGTGATACAATAAACTGGGCAAATTCGTAGATTTTGATTTGAGTTTGTCTGGATTTATCAAATTTAGATTGATTTATGATGCTCTTAAGGCACTCAAAGTCAGACGCGGGGGCTTCGTGTTTACATTTGCAGTGACAAGCCACCTTTTGCACGGTGCCAATATAACATCACGATTGAAAGAAGCTTGAAAAAATCCTTAACTTCCATTCAAATTTATGGGTAGCTGTATTGTTTTGCTTTCTCTCTCTCCCTCTTTTTTTTTCAGTGTTGAAAAAAATGGAGTTTCGTGTTTGGACTTTGAAGTTATTAATTAGAAAGTAGTCCTCTCCTGTTCTGATTCTTAATTGATTGATCGTTAAATTTCTGCTGTAAAATGTGGTGATTTTCATGATGAATTTGTAGTTAGATTTGGAGCGATGATGAGCTGTCAACATGTAAGATGAAGTCTGTCTTTGTGTTTGATTTCCTCAATGAAATCTGCTTGTTGCGCTTGGCTTCTGAGCTTTTTGTGCTTATTTGTTTGTTTTGTATATTATTTTCGTATTCTTAAGGCTGATGCTGTATTGGTCAGTGTTTAGCTTAACAAAGAGGAATCGGGTCTCAGCCAAACAACAACTTGTGGGTGTGGGTGTGGGTGTTGGCAGCGGATCGGGCGTTAATATCCAATGCTATTCATTTATGTCTAGATGAACTACAGGATCAATGAAGAAGCTCACGTGTCTAAGAGAAAACTCAGGAGCACAAAAAATTGTATGTAGTGGATTGGGCTATATGAGTATTTTATACAAAAAAATTGTCTGTAGTGGGTTAGGCTATATGAGTATTTTGCCACTTATATTTATATACCTCTATTCACCTTTTTTTGCTTCTCAGTTTTTTCTCACGGCGCATCCACTTGAGACACGTGGACTCCTCATTTCTTGTCTGATCATGTGGTTCATCTGGACAGAAATGAATAGTGCGAAACATAAGGATATTACTTTTATGTGTCTTAAATTGTTTTGCATGTTGATCGACATCTCCCTCTCCTCTGGGTAGACTCACACCTAGAGAATGGATAGGCTGCATGTCGCCCAACCGCTTTGTACCGTCTTCGCTGTCACCTGTCCAGTACACATGCTCCAGAGTTGTTGTTTGGCTGAGACTCAGTTGCCTTTGGGTTAAGCTAACCATTGACGGATCTTTTGACTGACTTATTGGAGGCGAGGGCTTGATTAGGAATCACAGTGGAGCTTTCATTATCATCTTTTATGCCCCTCTTCAAGCCTTCTCGAGTTATAGATCGGTCTTCAGATTGCAACCTCTATCTCTTCTTACATTTTAGATAGAGATGGATGTTGCCGCTTTTGTCATCCTCTTCACCTCAGGCCACCAGGGCTCGTGACAAATTCAATACTCGCTTATGTGCATAAATTAACACTTCAGTCTATTCGTTACCATATCTCACACATCTTCCGCAAGAAGAACCGACTTGCTGACTAGTTGTTCCGCACCTTCTGTCTGGATGACGCCCCTTTCTGCATTCGTACTCTTGTGAGTATGGATTAGGTGGACTACCATTATTAATCGTCTTGTATTTTTTTTCTTCGACCCACTTTGTGGGGTAGACTGTTTGCCTAGACACCTGTCATATTCAGACTTTTCTATTTTGTTATTATTTTTTTCTTTTTCTTTTTTTTTTTTTGCTTTTTTTTGTTTTATTNTGTGATTTTTCGGCCCATGTAAGGGTCTCAACTATGTATAGGTTGAAGATTCGGTCTTAATGTGTTTATTTATAAAAAAAATGTGCATTTGGAGCAAAGTTTTTTCAATTTTGATTTCATTTAATGCAAAGTGTTGTTTGGGTATTAACCGAGAGTTGATGGGGAGTGTATTGGATGATTTGATTTGAATGTATTAGTTGATTTCATTTGAAGATTATGTATTGTAAATAGTTGATAGCCAAATGTGTTTGTGGATTTGATTTGGAGTTTATATTAGCGTAAATGAGTGTTAAACAAACAATTTTAAGGCTGTTACATTATTTGAGCATTTTTTTTAAAAAAAATAATTAACATTTTTGGTAATAAAGTTATACAAGTAAATTAGTTACCTAATTAATTGTATTTGAGTTGTGAATGAGGGTCATTCTTTTAGCACCATATAACAACCTATTATTAATTCCAGACTCCACATGAATGTTAAAAAATTTAATACTTCCAAACTTCACATCCATGGGGCATAGATTGTTAGGCAAATGAATGTATTTTTTCGTTTGGTACCATTAGTTTGCATACAATTTCTTCATAATTTTTTGGAAGTATTTGAAACTCTCTCCATAAATACGTAGGAGTCAATGAGTTAAACAGATGAAATAATACACACAATATTCAATTTTACATCATTTTTACGAGTCAATGAGTTAATCAGCTGAAGTAATTCAGATAACAAATGACTGAATTCATAAAATTAAAGCTTTTTTTTTTCCATTATTTGGAATGTTTATCTTTTAAAACTTTAAACTTCCTTATTTTTTTTTCTTCAAAATTGTTCAAAATACAAAATATAAAAAAAGTATTCAGTACGTGAACTGTGAAGGCAAGGCAAACACAAAGAATCAGCAAGACGGCAACAAACTCGCAGTTATGCCCTAACTGCACAGACCGCATGAATTCCCATTAACTCATAAATTCATAACCAACTTTTTTATAATTTATATACTTCGTTTTCTCACTCTTCTGCATAATACATAAATGACAAATCATTAAATTCATCTGATTATTATATAATTATATCCACAAATTAATAATAATTATTCATTATATAATTATTCCTCGCCGGCGACGATCGATTATCATGACTCCTCAGGCCGCCGGCGTGATTTGGCTTCTCTTGCTTTCGATCCTGGCCGTCACCGATTGCCGTGACGTCATCCAGCTCCCTTCGGAAGCTCGCCGGTTCTTCCGCGGCGCGGCGGGGGAAAGCGGCAGAGACGGTGACGATTCCGTCGGGACGAGGTGGGCTGTCCTGCTCGCTGGGTCAACTGGCTACTGGAATTATCGTCACCAGGTGATTACAGCTTATAAACGACCTCAATTGTCCTATTGTTTATTTGAAAATTCAGCAATTGTATCCAGCTCGTGTGTGTGTGTGTGTGTGCAATATCTAATTTTGATTATTGATTGCTGGAATCCACATAATTGCAGCTGAAAATCTGGTTGTAAAGTCTCACACGGTTTTTGATTTTGTAGCTCAAAACTAGCTTGGGCAAGTTTAAGTTTCTATCCAAATTTTATGCAGTTTAAAATAATTTCTTATGCTGTTTACTTGTTTTGCTGTTAGCCTATTTTTTAGCTTCAAACTTGTTTTCTTGGAAAAAAAGTTAATAGTTTATAAGTACAATTTATGATCTAAACAAAAGGTAAATTGTTTGTGGTCTGAGTTAATGTTTCAATTAAGCTGTATAGTTAGTACTTGGGTTTACTGATAACTTGATGTTACAGTAGTGAACAATTTAGTGTTCTTCAAGTTATCAAATGTATTATTACATAGACTATTATCTCATCTTTAGCAAGCTGTTACTTGGTAGTAATTGTTGGTACTGTGAGGCCCACACCTGTTTCTTGGTCGTAGTTTATGAATTTACTCTTCTGAATAGGGCCCAGATGAACAACTGAGACTTAATTGTTGATATTGACCCATGTTGCCTTTGGAGAATATCTTGAATACCCTTTACTGGGTGCATCTCCATTTGTTTGTCATTGAATTGGTTCATTCAGACTTGTAAAGAATTCGATCTTGACTTTTTAACCATGTAGAAAACCCTATGGATGAAATTAATTGAGGTCCATTCCACAAATTAAGAGAATTTGCTTGTCCTTTTCCTTTTTGTGAAAACAACATAATAGCAAGTCACTTTATTACAAAAAGAAAGTATGATTCTTTATCTTTTTGTAGCAAATTTGGATTTTCTGAGAGTTGAGTTGAGGAAAATTGTTCTACGAAAAGAAGAAAGTGGACGGAAAAATAAATTGTGCTAAAACACATTCATTGTTTAGTATCAACCAACCTCAAGGCTGATTTTCATCATTTCATGTTGTAATGCTTAAACTATTGTGCTGGTTTGCATTATCTTAACAGACCTACATGTAGTTAGTACATTAAAGTAAGGATTGACATGGAAATTGTATAATGTATCATCTTCAGAATTTTTCGCACTACAGATACTACCAATGTCTTAATTTGCAACAGGCTGATGTGTGCCATGCATATCAAATCCTAAAAAGGGGTGGCCTCAAAGATGAAAACATTGTTGTCTTTATGTACGATGACATTGCTAATAATGAAGAAAATCCAAGACCTGGAATCATTATTAACAGTCCTGATGGAGAGGATGTATATAAGGGAGTTCCAAAGGTCCATCTCTAAGTCTCTTCATTAGTTCTTTTTGAAACCACATTTTTCTTTTCATATATGCAGTGTTAATGAAACAGGATTATGTTGGTGATAATGCGACCGTGAACAACTTTTTGGCTGTCCTTCTTGGAAACAAATCAGCAGTTACTGGCGGTAGCGGGAAAGTTGTTGACAGCGGTCCAAATGACCATATATTTGTATACTACTCGGATCATGGTGGTCCAGGGGTGCTTGGTTAGTAACTTACTTCTAGAATCAAACTCAATATAAATCTGTTAACTGCTTTTGTTTAATATTTATCACACCTTTTCAATTTGACAAGTTTTTAAGCTGAATGGAGGAAGAATGTCATCACACAATCAAGCATTGAAAATAAAAACAATTTGGTTATATATGGTAACAATGGGAAACTTCTCATTTTCCAACTTACTCTCGTTGCTGGTTAAATTATCACATGCTCTATTGTTGGAGCTGACAAACGACCGTGCGAGGCCATATGTTTATATATCTGAATGCAAATGCACAATGGAAATCTGTTAACAGGGGCCGTCCCATTTACTACTTGCATAAATCTAGTTTCGCATTTCATTTTTATTGGTAGATAATTCACACCTGGAGGGTGGATTTTTATTTTACGGTTCTTTTCAGTAGAATGCTTATAAATAATATTAAAATTCTACTTAGGCTATATCTGTTAATTTGTTCCTAATTTTCAGGGATGCCGACCAATCCATACCTTTACGCTGATGATCTGATCAATGTTTTGAAAAAGAAGCATGCTTCTGGAACGTATAAGAGCTTGGTATATCAATTGTTTGATTTCATTTTCTGAATGTAATTGTGTTAACTGTCTGTGGTATCTAAAAGTTGTGCAAACCTAATGAAGATTATTATTTGTAGGCATTTTACCTTGAAGCTTGCGAGTCTGGAAGTATATTTGAAGGTCTTCTTCCTGAGGGCTTGAACATATACGCAACCACAGCAGCTAATGCAGAGGAGAGTAGCTGGGGAACTTACTGCCCTGGTGATATTCCTAGTCCTCCGCCTGAATACGAGACTTGTTTGGGTGACCTATATAGTGTTTCATGGATGGAGGATAGGTATGCATCCATTCTTTATTTTTAACTGGCTGCTGTTCGGAACATCTGAAATTTATCAGTATTTGTTTTCTGCCATGTATTGCCAAAATGACTTGCTTTATGAAGACCTTTGTAATCACTTAGGGTGTGTTTGAATACAAATATATCCGCTCAAAACTAGCTTTTTTTAGTTAACTAGGATTAATTTGGAAAAAATGTGGTATGATTAATTATTAGTGAGATTTTTATATTGAAATAATATTTGAAATAAAATAGTTAAATTTTATTTGATTTAAAAGTAGGAGAGAGATGATGTGAAGTGATAGTTAAAATTATGTGAATGAATGAAACTTGATTTGATGGGTAAGAATAATTGAGTGATATTATTTAATTATATTGATAATATTGAAGATAGCGGGGTTGAATTAAAGTTGAGTTAGATTTTGAGTATGAATTGAGTATGGATTGAATTTATTTGTATGCAAACACACCCTTAAAAAATTAGTTACCTCTGAGACAGACAAGAGAATTTGAAAAATTTGGCAATATCGATTTAACGTATTCAGTTTCATTTTATGGTTATTCCTATTTTGCCATCACGTGCAGCGACATACACAATCTTCGCACCGAAACTCTGAGGCAACAATATCAGCTGGTCAGATCTTGATAAATCTATGTTTTTAAGTTCTATTGTTTTCTCATGATTTACTTAGGAACGAGTGTATTGTGTTGGCATTTACAGGTCAAGAAGAGAACTGCTCATGGAAATTCTTACCATGGCTCTCATGTAATGCAATATGGTGATCTTAAGCTGAGCCTGGAGAATCTCTTCATGTATATCGGAACCAATCCTGCAAACGATAACTACACTTTTGTGGACGATAACTCCTTGCAGCTATCTTTTTCAAAAGTCGTTAATCAGCGTGATGCTGATCTTGTACATTTTTGGGACAAGGTACTTAATTATTAGCAGGTTTCTCATAGCATTAGAGCTTGAAGATTGAAATATATTTTTGATATATCGTTGTGCTTTTCAATTTCTCCGCTTTGGCAGTTCCGTAAAGCTCCTGAAGGCTCTGTGAGGAAATCCGAGGCGCAAAAGCAGCTTGTTGAGGCCATGGCCCACCGAACACATATTGATAACAGTATCAAACTTATGGGGAAGCTTCTTTTTGGAATTACGAAAGGTCCCCAAGTCTTGAAGAAAGTTCGACCTGCTGGAGAGCCTCTCGTTGACGACTGGAATTGCCTGAAATCACTGGTAAGCATGCCATGATTCACCTCAGTCTCTAAACATAGTATAAATCTCCTCTCCAAATGGTTATAGGATATTTACAAATCGGGTTTGGCTATTAGTTATCTTTGGAAATTAAATTGCACAAAGTTACCAAAAGAAGATATCCTTATATGAATCTATTGAGGACTCAAATAACACGGATAACTCTTCTTTCGTAGTCTGAATAAAGATTTTACACACATAAAACTGTTAAAAAAGATCAAATTAACAAAACATGTAAACATGTGTTCAACTTTGTGCTAAATTTCAAGAATAATCTGTAAAAGCAACCAAAATTGTTGGTTAAAGAACAGCTATAAATAACATCCTCTTTTTCTCAAGAAAAATCATTTCCCCTTTCAGCTAGGTTTTACCAAACCTAGCTGATAAATTTGTTGATAGATGATAACTTAGAAGTGAATTTCAAGTTTATAGCTGATAGCTTATGGCTTATAGATGAAAAACTGACTAATATAATAAAAGGTAAAATTAGCTGATAAGCAGTTGAAATAAAAATTTCAACGGGCTTATTTGAAAAGCTACCAAAAGTAGCTTATGAGATAAGCTCGAGCTTTTTTAAGAAACTTGTCCTACCAAACCAAGCTTATTTGCATACGGGACATGTGACGCAGGTAAGAACATTCGAGACGCATTGTGGGTCCCTATCCCAATACGGAATGAAACACATGCGCTCGATTGCAAACATTTGCAATGCAGGCGTTAATGAAGAACAGATGGCTGAGGTATCAGCACAAGCTTGCGCCAGTTTTCCTTCCAATTCTTGGAGCTCTCTACATAGGGGTTTTAGCGCTTGATGATTGTTTTGGGGACTCACCTTTTATCTTGGGGGCTGTTTGTCTTTTCTTTGCACGGCTTGGAAGAACATAAATGGCGGTATGATGGTTTGTTGTGTTTGTAAAATATGGTATAATAGTATTCCTTTGTGTTTGTATTGTATTTGTACTTGTGGAGAAAACTGCATGGCTACAGTATTGATCTATGTATTTTTAGTGGCGAGAACTTGCTTCAAATTTATGAAAACGCACTTTGAATGAGCACGCGCTTTAACTTCGCTACCAAACAAAGCTTCATTCATGTATTTTAGTTCTTTTCTTTTTGTCCTTTTTCTCCCTTTTGGGAGTCCAATGCAATCCTCAAGATTGCAGATTTCACGGGATAAACANGTGAGGCAGTCTAAAACACAATTTTATAAAATATCATATTTTTGTTTATGCTCTTTTTTAGATTATAATATTTTAGGTTGAAATTATGTATATTTATTAAAAAATTATGGTTGTGTAGTCGTTAGGTCTACCTAACGTCAATCTTACATAAAAAATGTGATGAGACTATGGCTATAAATGAGTCATGAGCCGCTCGCGAGCGTCCAAGTTAATGGTCGATTCGAGTCGGTCAAACTCAAGCTCGACTGCAATTCAATCGAGCAAAGAGTCGAGCCTCGAGCATCATTTCAAGAGGCTTGTAAGCATGAGGAGCCACTCGATTTTTCATTTACACAAACATCTCATATAGTTTAATTATCAATATAATATGTCAAGACCAAAATTGTCTATTTAAATTTAAAATAGTATTTTTATATTTAAAATTTTATTATTAAAATTTCAAGTCAAATTCGAGTCTGTAGAGTATCGAGTCGAACTTGAGTTTTTATTTTTTTCACGAGTCACGTCGAGCAATATTTTATATGGCTCGTCGAGCTCGAGCAACGAAAAAAAATTCAATCTGCGCTCGACAAAGTCCATACACGGTCGACTCGATTCAACTGGACTTGTTTACCGCCCTAGATTGGACTAAGGATTGAGGATCAAGTCGGATTTAAAGGTTGGCCTACCATATTTTTTCAACATATTTGTATAGTTTTCAATTGAAATAATATACTGTAAAAAATAACATCAACGTAAATAATAATTCATAACATAAGGATTTTTTTTGCTAATGATATTTTTTGTTAAAAAAATACACGAAGGGTCTATCATCCAACGCTTGAGAATTTGTAACTTAATCGAGACACTGAAGAGTGAAGACTAATTTAAACTAAATAATGTTAGGTTAATCACAAAAGAAAACAACGTAAACAGAAAATTATAATAAACGGCGGAACTAACAACAAAAAGATTCCGTCATCGCACCCGACGCCGTGAACATAAACTTGTCCTTTTTGATGGGGACGACCGAAACGCCGTCTCACACAGCCAAAGCAAGAGCATCTACACCGTCCATCGCTTTTGAACGGCTGCAGATTGGAAAATGAAAAATGGAGGGGTATATAGTTGTGTAAAAGTGAGGTTTGAAGAACAGAAGGAAGTTTTTCTGCATTTTCCTCTCATCCATCATTTCACAAGCCGAGGAAGAAGAAGAAGAAGAAAAGAAGAAAAAGCTCTGCAACTTCTCTCATAATCTCTCTCTCATTGTGGTGAGTTGAAAATAAATAAATCAAATTATGAATCAAAATCAAACTGATTCATCTGCAGGATTAGAATTAATCCTTCGATTAACAAATTTTGGCATTATTTTTAACGTTTGCGTCTCTAATTTTCTTTACGGAGTTGCAGGTCGCATTTGCGCAGGAGATATTCAACTATTCAAGCTTGGTTAGAGGTTTTTCGGAAATCTAAAAGGTTCGTATCTGCATCTGTGTCCGTGTGTGTACCGTGTACGCTCATCTTGATTGGTCAGCCAAATGTTTTGCAGATTAATGTAAAAATCTTTCTCGATTCGCAGGTGTGTGTTCATGGGAGAGTTTTAGATCAGCTACCTGGTTAACAAGATCGAAAGAGGATTTCAGAAACAAATTTTCGCCGTGAATTTCTTTATGCTAGCGTCTGGAAACTTTTTCGTATCTGGGATTTTATGATTTCTATCGATATTTTAAGGTAATTTGATTCATCATCTGAGCAAAATGAAAGGGAAAGAAAGTGTTAGAAGCTTAGAGATGATTGATGCATATGCGTGACTGATTAAATTTCTTATTTCTGTATTTGTAGGTTAAGACGGTACCCTTTTTCTTACTCATCGGATTCTGGAAACAAATACAGAGAAAAGTGACGACAACAGAAGCTCGCCGGTAATCGGCGACTGATTTTCCCCTTTTACCGTGAAAACGTTCTGTGTATTTTCAGCTTAATCTCTCGTCAAAATTCGACCCCAATTTTTTTATGGTCGAATTATCACAAATTTTACGTGGTGCTCTTGCATCTTCTTCTTCCTCCATTATGTTGGTTAGCATTGTGTGCGTCGATCTTCGAGATTCAAATTCGTTTGAGAAAACCTTCAAATTCAGCTTTGAAGAACTGACTTCTCGACATCCATCTCTCAATTTCATTGGAAACCAGATTTTCAATGGCGATGAAAGCGTGATTGCCTTTACGCGAGTCGACTTTCGAATTCTGGAGATGCTAAAATTTTCAATTTCCTTTTTTCCCCTGTGATTTCAATCTTCACCTGACATAGCCCATTATCTGAAAACTGTTTTTTCCATCTCCTTTTTCACTGTAACTGTGATTCGTCAAAAAATGCAATCACAATCCAGATAACAGAAACATGAAAACCTCCGTTAACTTGCCTTTTGACGGTGTCTTCTACAGGTGCACAAAAGCGAGATGGACCGGATGAATACCCACTCCACAAATAACAATGGGTTGCTGTCGAGATCCGAATCCAGGTCAGCCGCTACGACGTCGTCGCCTTCACAGTTCGATTTGCAGTGGGGCAGCAGAAAAGGGTTGCGCTGCATGAAGGTCCACGGTAAGGACCACAGTACAAGCAACGACTCGACCGGTTCGAGAACGGTTCGGCGCGCGACGGCTCGCATAGACCGGCGGGCAGTTAGATCTGATACGGATAATAACGCCGGCAAGGACCCGATAACAAATAGGAGCGGCGGTGGCCATCTGAACCTCCGTCAACGTCCAGCTTCTCCCTCTCGACGAATTTTGAGGTAATCTGTTTTTTCCTTTCTTGTATATTTTTTTGTTACTTTTTGTGATTTTTCGTTCATTTATAAATTGGAAAAATATGTTGATGGATGCATTTTCCAATTTTTCTTTTCTGGCAGTAACTGAAAAAGGTTCGGTGTTTTTGTGTCGAGTTTCTTAATTTCAATTGGTATCTATTTGCTGAAGGGAGTTCGTGTTAGGTAGATTTTTCATAGGAATTCAAATTGTAAAATAATCACGCCTTACTTAAAATTCTTGTCAACCAAAATTCAGTGATAATTTTTGCCATATTATTGTTTTAGATCCGCATTTGATTATTGAATAGTGCAGTAAACAAGTTCAAAATTACACAAAATATGTCTGGATAAAATTAAATGAGATTGAGTCGAGCTCATAACATTGTTTAAGAACTCCACTATTGAGTTGTTATAATTTTATTTTATTTTTTTCATTTTCCTTCTTTAATCTATGAGTATCAAACTTCTTACCTTTGTTTGATTGTTATGTTAGAATTTATTTAGATCCATCCACAGTACAAATGTAGGCTGATTAGGACACATAAACAATATGGTTATAGAGGGTAGTGATGAATTCCCAATCCAACGGCCCAAAATCACCGGTGCACCCTCCTAAATGTTAGGCTAAAAACACAGGAGCCCACCCGCACTCAATATTATTATATCCCTTTAAAAACTAAAGCTGACCCAAAATGAAATTAGAACCACTCAACAACACCTCCTCTTTTTAACAGATCTACGCAACACCACTAACCCCATTCTACGATCCAAAATTTCTACTACCCAAGGGCTTTCCCGTAATTTCACCCACTTCCCACGAAATTCTCGAACTTTTCCCGGTAAATTATTTTTTATTACTTTTTATTTTGTCAATTTTTTTGATAGATCTGTTTATGATGCATATGTTCTGAATCTGATCAACTCTTGTAATTTTATTTATTTGTTTATTTGTTTTTCATTTAATTTGTTTAGGAATTCAGAGGTTTCAATTGCTATGAAGGGACACAGCAATGGAGTGAGGGACTTGTCCCCATCCATAAATACCAACACCAACAACAATAATAATAATAATAATCATAACAATAGCAACAACAAGAACAATAATTTCAATAATCACCACAATAATGGCAACCACCACCACGCTGCCGCCGGAGGTGGGTCGCCGGATACGGCCGCCGCCGCCGTCTGGCCGCAGTTTGCAATTGCCCTTACAAATAAGGAGAAGGAAGAGGATTTTCTGGCGATCAAAGGGTCCAAGCTGCCTCAAAGACCTAAGAAGAGGGCCAAATTTATTCAGCGCACCCTTAATGTAAGATTTCCATTTCCTTAATTTATCAAAAATATTTTATTGATCAATTTATCTAAATACGTGTACTGCAGGCCCTTTTGGCTAATTAGGTTTGTTAACTGATATATATATATATATGGAATCTAACTGCAGTGAACTGCATATATGATCATTATAGAGCCTATGAGCTTTAAGGTTAGACTAATTATGAGAGAAAAAAAATAATCAAGTTATTTTAGATATGTCTGATCATGGTTTGTGAATGCACCTTAGAGATTTGTGTTTGTTTTGCAATATTTATTTTCGAATGAGAAAATTCAAATGTGTCAGAAAAAAAAAATTAATTTTTCAGAGATTAATTGTGTGATTTATTTGGTGGTTAGATATATTCATCCCAAACAACTAGTTGTCCATTTGATATTTATCTTCTAATCCTTTGATTTATGTATTTTGGGTACCATGTCTGTTTCATTTATTATGTGCTGTAAAGGGATTTTCGACCATGTCTGTTGATAGACTTTTAACTTTTTGTCCAAAGTAGAAAAACGGTGGACTAATATTTACTTATTTGTTTATTTATTTTTGGTTCTATGATATTTGAGTGAGTAATTAGAAAATGAGAAAATAAAAAAGAGATGAGGTGTGACATTAATGGGCGTGGTTTGTACGTGTCCGTTTTTGTATAAACTTTTGGTCCCATAAGTCCATAACCATAGGTATTATATTTATATCTCACGTTATGGGTTTTTATATTTTATTCTTTTTACGATATTTGTTTTATCATTGTTTTTGTCCATTTCTACAAAATATTTCTTTTTTGTGGTGAACATGTCATGTATGCGCACATGCTAGTGGGGATTCTTTATTTGTTTTGTGGAGAAAGCATAGTCTCATACAACATTAAAAAGTATATATTTTTTAAAATCTGGTTATTTGTTAATAAAAATCATACTTTTATTATAACTCATAAGCATACTTTCACGTATTCTTAATAAAACATAAATAAAACTAATATTTCATAGCATTAACATGCATCTTTTATTACAAAAATATGATAGGTCGACCCACTTGACAGGTTTTACAGAAAAAGTTTGTATGAAAACATACATTACGATCATAGTCAAATGCAAATATATACGAAAACCTAATTACATATTGTTTATTTGGGATGTGTAGCTGGTGAGTCCAGGTGCATGGCTATGCGATTTAACACTTGAGCGATACGAGGTTCGAGAGAAGAAAGTTTCCAAGAAGGTACTTGATTTTCGTAGGAAAAGTTTTGTTGTTTTAAAATCATATTTTAATTTCTGTTTCTTTCTATTGGATGATCGAATTCTACCATAGTCATCATGGACACGTGTCATTCGTCTAACAAAATTAAACATGAATTGAAATATAATCCTAGAACAGAAAATGTCGTCCCGATTTTCATTGTATTTTTTATTATAACATTTTTTTTCTTATCTAACTAATACACCATTTTTCTCTAGTTAAATAAAAAACTAAACTCTACTTATTGCATCATGATTTTCAGAGACCACGAGGGATTAAGGCTATGGGAAACATGGAGTCGGACTCGGAGTAAGGGCAATGTGAGGAAACCAAAAAAAAAAAGAAAAAGAAAAAAGAAAAAAGAAAAAAATGCGATTTAAGTGTAGAAGGTGCTTCTCAACTTTTGGACTTTGTCTGGAAATATGTGTAAATGGTTTGAGCATAAATTATTTTTGCTGAAAATTTGCCCATTCGCTTGTAGCTAAATATGTCATATCGCAATGGGAGATGTTTTTAATTAGAATAAGCTACTGAAAATTGTTGTACAAATTAAGTATACATGAAAAGTTATGAAATTATTATATAAAATAAAAAAAGTGTATTTGCTAATAACCCTCGTTACAAAATTGATTCAAAATTCTTGAAATTAGCTGAGCTGTTGTAAAGTTTTCATTCACTACCATTTTCACTTAAAAGTTAAAACTAGACTCAATCCAATCTTTAAATTTAACGAGTGGAACTGAATCTTAAATTCTTCATACTCGAGCTCTTACCAAGCTCAGTCGTTTGAGTTAAAAAGCCAATAAACAAGTTCAATTTTCGCCTTATTAAGGAGCCTTACAAGCCAAATTTTACTAAAAAACAATAAAAATATACACGTAAAAACCTATATTGATCAAGCCTAACAAACCAAGTCAAGCTAAGCTAAGCTCAAAGCCTCTAACCCAAATGAGTAGCGCTGACAAACCGCTCGTTTCATTCTATTTTCAAAAGATAATTTCAGTTTGGGACTTGCAAACATTGGATTTTTCTTTCAATTAAGAAAATCACCTAAATTACTTGGAATTATAAATATTAAATAAGGCATACCTAACTCAAAAATAAATTCAGGTTTGTTCATGTAAGAATTAAATTACATTGTGCTTGATCTTACTCAAATATGAGAAACTAACATAATATTGAGTGAAGTATAACCAACATAACATAAAACGATATACAAAAATTCTTAAATATACTGATCAAAGTGTGTATGATTTATTTGGCACCTTTAATAATGTGATCTATGCAACAATATGCAAATTAAGAACATGAAATAGNAAAACCATAAAGCACAACAAATTTCAATAATACTCTAAAATGCAGCTGAATAAATAGAATAAATAGGTACACGAATGAAATAATAGCATATCTCCATCACAAACCTGCTAATAAAAATCAAATTCCACCACAAAACAAACACCAAATAAATCAGATCTACACAATCACATACAAATCAACTCCATAAATTCCCCTCAAAACCACTGCCCTATACACACACTCAACTCCTCGCGCCTCAAAGCACTTGCAAACCTTCAGATCTTGACGGCGGATCCGAAGACAAAGGCAGCCGCGGCGGCGGCGAAGGCGACGGTGAGTGAAGGCGACGCGACGGAGGACGGCGACGCAGGAGCAGGAGCCGGCGCGTCCTGCGCCAGCGAGCTCCCCACTAGGGCGAGGATCGTGGCTACCGCCGCCAGGATTCCGACTTTAGACACTGCCATTGCACTTTTTTCGCTGAGATTGTATTTTGTGTGTGAGACAGCGTGTGTAACAGAGGTAAATAGCAGAGCAGTTGTGAGGAATAAATCGCGTGATGTGCCACTTTATATATTGGAGAATAGAGGTGGAGAGGATGTTCGGGCAGAGGTAGGCTGTGCGGGCAGCTGCCCGTTTTTACAGACTGGCGAGTGCCGGATGGACAGCTGGATGATACGACAGGCCACTCAGGATTGGGTCGGCGGGACAAACCTTTTTTTGGTGAAAAAATGCTTAATTTGTGTAAAATGGTAATTACTAATAATAATTTATATCAATACAGATTTTTGTTTGAATAAATTTAAATTTTCAGGCAAGTGACAGTCGCACTGAAAAAAAAAAAAACTATTATATATTTTATTTTTAAATATGATATTAGTTATAAAAAATATGTATATTTGACAAGAAAGTGTATCGATATAATCATTAAGGTGAGAAGATTTACGGATACACAAAATATTGTACATTTTTTGTGTTTGAGTTCTTTTTAGTTTAATACAAAGTATTGGGCTCTACAGTTTTTACGGTTACTCAAATAAAAAATTGACACATGAAAAAACACAAAAAAAAAAAACACGAGTCATATTTTTTTAACGTCCGTTAAGCCTAGGTCTCCCTCGGCAGATGGCTTGAACATGATCTTATTGGGATGGTTTACTCCCGTCGCATTTTGTTTTAGTCTCCGTTAGACTTAGGCTTGACTTTTTTGTACCCAAAAAAATAAGACATTTTTTAGGTAGCCGGTATTGAATGCGTCGAGAACCTTCAAACAGTTGTCATGTTCGTACATTTAAATTCGAATATTGTCCTCTATATAAATGTTTTACAACTAAAACAAATTAATTTACCGACTATTCTTAATTCATAATTGTGAATTAAATATTGCAATGCCATATGTATTGTGATAAATGCTACTGCAGTAGTACCAAAATACACAATTCATTATATTTAAAAAATTAAATTACTAGTATATTACATGTATAATCGAATTTACTTGTTTTAACCAATTGGATGGTGTATGGGATAATATCGAAAATTTTCAAGAAAAAATGTGACCTCAATACACTAGTAAATTAATCAGTTTGTTTCGGTGTTTAGAGATGATAGATTTTACTTTTGGTTTAACAATGAACGTATAATCACTTTTTACCATATATGCAATGTGGATCCTTCTACTTTAAATTACTGAACACACTTAAACTACTGAACGCACGATCCATTGTTTACTATTTTCTTTTATTTATTTACTTGTATTAATCACTTCTAAAAAGCTAGACAATATAATGGCTCTACAAACATAAGTATGTCACAATTAGCTTGTGAATCGAATCCACATAAATAATGCAATTCTATTGGGAAAAATACGCTAAATTTTTCATGAAGTCGGATCTATAAAAGTGAAATAAAAAATAAAAATTGGACACACCAAATTGATAACGGAGTTCGGCCAATAATGCCTACGTCTCCGGACTACTGCAGATATTTTATTAGGAAGAAAAAAATACACTCGTGTTTGCAAAACACTCTCAACCTTACTCACAATTCACAACTCAAAAATACACACAAAGGCTAAATTATTTTTAGCTCACTCTCTCTTTTTCTTCTTGAATATTGTTGTATTTTGGTGTGCTTTGATTCATCAAACTCCACTCTTTTGTTTTTCTTCATTTTGCTACTTTCAGAAAAAATGGGCGCAGCCATTTTGGCCATTTTTTTTACTCAACAAATTCTTAAATAATCTTCATAAACAACGAAAGTGTATCTGAATTGTGCATAGTAAATCGCCCTTGTAAATAACTCATATGTTCTGCATGAAAATTTCACGACCGTCGTACCAATTATGCATTTATTTGTGTTAGCCTATATGTAGGCTATATTTGGTAGGCAAATAAAGTAGCTCATAATTTATTTGGTTAGCTTATAAGTTTCTTATACTCAAATAAGTCTCGTTTGACGGAACGAGTTTTTTTAAAAAACTCGAACTTATCTCGTAAGCTATTTTTAGATAGTTTTCCAAATAAATTGAATTTTTTATTTCAGTTAGTTTATCAGCTAATTTTACCAAACACTTTTATCATATAAACTAGCTTTTCAGCTATCTTAGCAGCTAATTTTACCAAACATAGCAGTAATTTTCGAGCTTATAGCTTATAACTTACAGTTGAAAAACTAGTTTATATGGTAAAAGTGTTTGGTAAATTAGTTGATAAGCTAGCTGAAATAACAATTGCAACGAGCTTATTTGAAAAGCTACCTAAAGAAGCTTATGAGATAAGCTCGAGCTTTATAGAAAAATTCATCCTACCAAACAAGACTTATTCGAATTTATGAAACTTATAAGCTAACTAAATAAGGTATAAAGTATAAACTAGCTTATTTGACTACGAAATTAAGAATTGTGAATCGAGCTAAGCTTGTATAAAGTAGTGGGTCAACAAAATTGAAGCCCAACCCAATTGTTTGCTTGGGCTAGATGTCCCCTCCATTGGGCCACCAACCTGGCTGCTCTAACAGCCGTTACCCTCCACTCTCAGATATTTATGACGTGTCCTCCAAACAAAACAAAAAGCTTACGTGTCACTGACCCACAACAAAAAGGGCGCATTGTAAAACAGAAAAAGATTGAAAAATCAATTAAAAGACCAATGTCCAAGCAATTTTTTATCAGATTTTTTTCCCATATTGAATATGAATAACCCATATCTTTAGGAGCTTCTAGGTTCTGTGCTATCCAAAAATCGGGTCCACAAAATTGCTCTTCCCTATATTCAGACACAACCCCTGTTTTTCCTCCTATTCCCCAAATATACTTTGATTTCGTCTGCCGGTTTTCCATTTCCATAATTCCATTACTAGACTGTGTTGATCTCGCTGCTGAAAGTAAGGTAATTTTTTTGGTTCCCTCGTGCTTTCTTGTGTGGTATCTCGAAAAGGATCCTTTTTTTTTTTGTTTTCTGTTATCCTTTTTCTTTGTTTACTCATGAGATGAAAAGGAAAGTGTGGATTCTTTTGTTGATTGTTTGATTTTCTTTTGTCCAGTGAGCTTACGGTGAACAGGGTTCCTTAGACTGGTTGAGCTTTTTAAGTAAATTTCATTTTGTGTGTGCGTGTGTGTGTGTTTATGTGAAAGATTTGATTTTTGGTTGGATTTTGCCATTTTATTGTGGAAAAAGAAATTAATGTTGGTAAAGATCTGATCTTGACATCTAGGACATCGCATTTTCCAGTGATCTTCTGAAAATCGTTGGAGGTTCTCAACAATTTGGAGCTTAATTACAACCCAGAGAGAGAGAGAGATAGAGAAAATGAAGTCAGGGAAAGAAGAGAAGATAGTGGGGCCCATGTTTCCAAGGTTACATGTAAATGACACAGACAAAGGAGGGCCAAGAGCACCTCCAAGGAACAAGATGGCTCTTTATGAACAACTTAGTATCCCTTCTAATAGATTCACTCATTCTGCAGCCAGTTTGATTCGTCCTTCTAGCCAGGTGATTTTTATTTTTTTTCTTATTCGGCTGAATTTTGTCCTCTTGATTATTGCATCCTGGGTTTGTTTCTTTATGTAGTGTTTGAATATTCTGGCTTGATTATCTCACTGATATTGTGTTTATTATGAACTCATTGACATCGAAATATTACAAATGTTGTATCTGGTGTGTATTGTAGTATTTATTAATTAGTATCTCTGTCGGTTGTATTTTTCATATAGTGATTAGTTTCAAACTTTAGCTAGAAAAAGGCATAAATGATCTGCACGCTAGTTAGAGAAACACAAATTTGGACTTTATGGATGAAATAAACGTATGGATTATATTTTTTCTTTACTGGAATTGAAAAAATAAAAAATAAAAAACTGTTTGTTTGTGTTCTCAAACGCCATGTAATATCTAAAAAAAAAAAAAGAGGGAGTATGCACTGTGTGCATTAAACGGCTTGTTTAAGTTTTAGTATCGATTTTTGAAACTACCTTGTACTCAAATTATGCTATGCCTCTTCTGCAAATTGCAATGTATCACTTTCTTTATAAGCGTAAAGTTCTTCCAAACTGATTAAAGTTTTTCCAAATTGCAATGCTTTGCCTCTTCTGCAAATTGGCGACCGATCAGAATAAAGCCTTCTCGGCTTCATCAGCCGAAGAGAAAGCTGAAGGTTTGAAGAAACAAACTGATAGCGCTGGCGAGTTGAATAATAATAACCGTGTTGGGTACAACCCTGACAGCAGAAGGTGCAACCCTTTTGTATTGGACAGTAATATCATGGCATTGGAAGGAAGAAGTGAGTCTACCTCAGTTATGGATTTTCCATCCAAGGGTCAGGATATTTTGCATGATAGAAGTGAATCTACCTCAGTTATGGATTTTCCATCCGAGGGTCAGGATCTTTTGCATGATGATATCAGTAATAAAACAGATTTTCAAATGGAAAGAGTTGACAGTTTGTCTGAAAATTCTGTGGTGGATTCAATCTCCGGACTGGATATAACTCCCGATGATGTGGTAGGCTTAATAGGTCAGGAACATTTTTGGAAAGCAAGAAGAGAAATCATTAAGTGAGTAATTGTGCTTGATTTTGTTCTGCCATTTCTTGTTTTGCTGTTAAAGAGCATTTGGAAGAGATTCAACATTTTTCGTACATGCAGCTTGATATTTGTTGCATCAATGATACTGTTAAAATGTGTGTAAAGAAAATGTTTTTTTTAAATACGAGGATTTCTTGGACCATCTGTTTTGTGCAATATGATTTTGAAGTTGTTTTGTGATCTCTTTCTTTTACGACTTATACGTTGCATGTTCCTTACATATAGCCATATTAGAAATTTTCCTTCTCATATACATGCTAATGATACACATAATCTATTAGTTCCTTTACTACAGCCACCATCGATCAGATTTGGGAAAATATAGTGTCTCTCTCTTACTTACCATTTTTACATTCTTGTTGGCAGTCAACAAAGAATATTTGCCGTTCAAGTATTTGAATTGCATCGACTGATAAAGGTAATGCTAACTTTTTCGGTTTAACCGGTTCTTATAAATACTGATTATCTCTTTTCTTCTACTTGATTATTTTTATGGGCTGAGGCTTTAATTTTTTCTTCATCAGGTCCAGAGACTGATAGCCGCATCACCACGTAGTTTGCTCGTGGATTTCACCAAACCAATCAAAGCTTCTCCTGGGAAAAGAAAATCCCTAAATAATCCTGTTAAAAAAAGCCCGCACGTTCCTAAGCCGAAAGGCAGGCCCGAGAAGCTGGTTCATAAGACCAAAACAACTGTAGAAAATGCTTCCGAGAAGAAAATACCTTCTGCTTCTATTCCGAGCTTCAATTCTGGGCCATGGGGCTTCAGTCCTCAGCCGCTCGGTAACCATTGGTTGATTCCTGTGATGTCCCCTTCTGAAGGGCTGGTTTACAAGCCGTACACTGGGCCTGGATTCATGGGCCCAGCCTACGAAGGATATGGGCCTCCCGGGTCAAGCCCACTGATGGGCAATTTTCCAAATCCAATGTATGGTATGAGCAGGCCTGCATTTTCGAGCTCTTCCACCGGACAATCGAGCGGGATACCCTTTCTGGGCCGGGCTTTGGCCCGGGATGTGGCGGCCCACCAGAAGCCCAACTTGAAGTCGACTGAGGATGTTGAAACACAAACTAGCTTTGCGAGTAGGAGTGTGCTCCCGCTTTTCCCCACTTCCCCAACTGCTGATGGGCCGAAATCCGGCCCGCTGAAACTCGAGCCCGAAGGCCCGACTCGTGTGATCAAGGTTGTGCCTCGTAATGCGAGGTCTGCAAGTGAATCTGCTGCTAGAATTTTTCAGGTGATACAGGAAGGAAGAAAACAAAATGATTTGCCTTAAGCCCTTTGAACATTGTTCTTGTGTGTACTAGTTTTATAGATATGGTTGGATTAAGTGTGTGCATGACAGTTAAAGTTAGTTAACAGGTTTAGTTTATTTTTACAGGCACTTGTTGTTTTGAAATTTTGGTAGCCAACAATTGTATCNGGGTAGAATCAAGTGTAGTCAGTCAAGTCAAGTCATAGGTAACTGTAAACATGTCGAAATTGATTATTGCTGGAATATGGTATTTTTTATTTGGAACTATACTAATTTTCTCCCTTAATACTCGGGTTGCTAAAGTAGATCAAAAGCAGTGTGAAATTCTTGGGTCGGCGTGGGCCGTGGTGTCGGGGTTAAAAAAACTTCCAATTTATTCATAATTGATCTTGAATCGCATCTTTTGCAGTAAATGAAGGTTCCAGACATGATATAAACGGGCTATAAATCCGAGAACTCTTAAACAACATGAGACTACTCAATTCATTTAACTTTTCATATAAATGGTCCATAGTATTCTTCGAGTGAACGACAACTCTTAAACATGCGACTACTCAATTCATTAAACTTTTCAGTTTTCACATTTGAGGTACTTGCATATTATAGTCATAAAATACTCAAATCCTCCCTATCAAGTATAATTACTAATAAAAGAAACTCACACGTATCAAAATTCACAAGTAAAAAAAGAGAAAAAATGCAATGCAGTTTAAGAAAAGGTGGAGTAGTCTCATTTCTGAAATCCTCCATATCGGTATTGTTGGCTGCTTAGGCCCGAGAAAAAATCATCGTTCGTTGATGAAGTTGAAGTTGATGTCGATACGAAGGCCGATTTACCAGCTCCAGAGACAACACCCATTGCACTACCTGTGTAAAACGAAGGCAAAGATCCCTTGTCCTTTCCCTCTGATCCATCAGTCAACCCCCCAACAATCCCAACATCTGCTAAGTTCACCTTCTTCGCTGCATGATCAGATAATAAAAAAAGAAAAGAAAAATATACTAGTCAGCATAAACCATAATACATGCATTTAAGTGTACCAAACTGTAGTTCTCCTTCCCAAGCTTCGATTACTTCTTTACGAGTAACATAACACTATTTGAAGTGTGCACGCCAAATTTTAACCGAAAGAGTTCAGTTGAGCTCTTCTTCAAAATATCTCATGAGATGTTTGACAGCTTATAACGATGTCCAAATGTGTTTGGAAGTTTTCTTCAGAAGATGTTATGTTAACAGCTCATAAGATTTGGCAGCTTACACAATATCGACAGGTGGGCCCCGTCAATGAAGACATACTTACGTGCAGTTATGTTAAGATCGATCAATCCACGGGTCAAAGAATCAGCCTATATTCCCGATTTGACTTGGAATGCCTTTTTAGGTGGAGACTTGGCCTCGGGCAAAGACTCGTTAATTTCCCCGCGACTTTCGTCATTAGGAGGATTTTTGTTGAACGCTGTCGATAGAGGATCCATTTGAGAAGTGATTGGGCCCAACGAGGTGGGCCTGTCAAAATCGTTGTGAGGAACTGGAGCAAATGGGTCGAGTGTATTAGTAGTTGTATCAGGTTTAGAAGGCTCATTGTCGAGCTGGTTAACTGGTTCGGGCATGGAGAAAAAGTCTACATTAGAAGGAACAGCTGAAACAGGCTGGTTAGCAAATAGATCAATATTGGTCTGCAAAAATGAAACACGGTTAGTTAACATGATAGATGTGTTTGTAACTGTATTTTAATTTTTAACCAACACAATATTTTAAATGTCCGGAAAAAGGTAACTTTTTGTCTTCCAAAAACCCAAATCAAAGAAAGTTTTTGCTTATGTAATTCGGTTCTCCATTGGACACAAGTTTCCATTTTGCATGCACGTTCAAAATAAGATATCACGATCACGTGACAGTAATAATGAGAAGGTTGTTGGAAAACATTGTTAGGTGACCCCATAAAGGCTTAAAACTCATCTCTTTGGAAATACTGAATATCTTGAGAAAAGATTGATAAACAAGATAGCATCTCCCAGAATTAGATAAATTTAAAAAAAAAAAAACTTTTTTTTCGAAGAAACATGAGAGAGAGAGAGAGAGAGAGCTTGTTACATTATGCTTTCCAGGTCACTACAGTGATTAAAAATATTTTCTTTTATGTATGATCAAGGACCTCTTACCACAGGCATGGGGATTTTCCCTGGTTCGGGTTCGGGTGTTGCTGACACAAAATCTGCATTTGCAAATAAATCAACCTCTGATGGATCCTTGTGCAAAGAAGTAGACTTATCTGTTGAAACAGATACTGGTGCATCCAATAGATCAACAAAATTTTCCCCAAAAAGATCCACCTGGTAACTTCCAGCAGAAGGTTCTGTTCAAAAGCAAAGATAATAAAAATACAGAAACATTTAATTCCTGCTAAAACTATAACCCTCTGTCCAGTTGAGTGATGTATTACAGAGTACAGCAAGAAATGTTGGTGGCTATAGCATCTCATGCATTTGTCATCAAAATGAAACATCGGGCTATGCTAATAATAAAGAAAATCAAATTTCAGTGTCTGCACCATAACAATACACAAAAAACTTATAAAGTTGGTGCATACTAGAACTCGAAGTCCCCCGTGGATCAAAATCATCAAAATCTTCATCATATTTGTCTGATGGGTCAGCTTTCGAGGAAACTGAATCGTTTTTATCCAACTGGCCTGTTTTTGTTGAGTCTTGTTTCTTGCTGCAAAATGTTCATGAAATTGACAGAGAGAAGAAATATATTATTGTACAGTTTATTAGCTGGACCTAAAAAACCCTGAAATATCTCAACAAAAATGCTGGTGCACGACCTTATACAAATCAAATTCGACTTTTTAGCTCAAAACAGTAGAAACAATATGGGTGATTGAAGTTTCCTTGAAAGTTGAATCAGGCAAATAACCATAAGGACCAAGCTTTGGGATAGGCACACGGTCCGAAGATTGTGATTAGAAATGTCAAAAATGGGAACTATTGTGGTAAAACAGAAAGAACCACATCATAATTTGAAAACGCCTAATTCATGTAAAAAATAAAATAAACGCGAAGAAGGCTGTAAAACACCTAATTCATGTAAATCACCCAATTCAAAAAGAGACCCTCTATCAGCAACACTCTGTATGTAATGTGGATGTGGCAACACAAACCTGCTATAGTAAGAAGGCTCTTTTTCTGACTTGGTTTTCTTCTCGTATATATCTTCACCAAATTGAGACTTGCCCTTATAACTATCATAAGATGTATCACTGTTTCCAAAACCTCCATATCGGTCACTATTCCTAAAGTTACTGCTACTGAATGAAGCTGCACCAGACTTGTATGTTATTTCAGATGATGAGACCCCAAAGTACCTGAAAATTAATTGCAAAGCCCGTAAACACAGATCCACCGTTAAAAATTTGAAGCATAAGACAGATTATTTGGAAAATAAGTAAATAACAAAACACTACAACCAATGCATGAGCTTACTTTTCGCGATTTGCAGCAGCTTTATCACGTACTTGTTGTATCTTGTCTTTGTCATTTAGGAGACGAACTATGGTTTCAGCCTTTTTTCTCACATTAAGTCCCACATCCTTTCCACTTGGCTCGACATACTCGAAACTTGTAAGGGACTGTAGAAAAGGGAAAATCGGGGGAGAAATATTTACAAACGAAGCAACCTTACAACATAAAATATATGAAAGGAAAGAAGATGCATACCGATATCTGGAAAGTGTGTTCTATGACGTCGTCAAGAGCACGTTCAGATCCGTTTGCCACCAGATACTCTATAACAGTCAATGCCTAGCAAAGAAGAGTATAAGTTCATTCCTATGCTTCAAAAGAAACTTAAACTTGAAATAGAGAAAATTAAAAAATGTTTGAGCTCTAGTTTTACTCATTCAGTTAAAGTAAAATACAGTTCCACTATTAAGTTTTAGCAGCTACCTTGTAGACAAAACGCCAATTCCTCCCAGTCTCAGTCAATCTTGTCCAAAGGACATCCATAACTATCTGACATTCGTTGCTGAATATCTCAAACACCAGACATAAGAACATGAACAAGACTCAGTTTCTTTAACAAATTCGTGAAAGAAACATATGAAACGCAGAAAATAATGAACAATGAAAATCACAGGATTTACAATTTCTTTGTGGCCCCTGCTATCTCTGCTAATACTGTGCCATGAGGACCCCAAGGTTCATCGTCCGTTGCATCCAGAACCTACTTAATAATATAGTCAATGTAAGGAATTCATAGAAACGATGATTTCGGTATAAGAAATAGAATAGGCTCAGAACCGACACATCTTAATCCAAAATAACACTATGCACAAATACAAAATTTTGAAGAAAATCTAGACAGAGAACTGTGAATAAAACATGCAACAAATAAATTATTTTTTGGCTGCCCGGACGAGTAAGTAGTGATTTTTTTGCCCACAACATTTCTAAACTCTTCCGAAAAATTTTTCAAGTGCTACATCGTGATAGTCTTTTATATCCCAAATCCCAAGTAATAATTAATGTTACCTGAATGGCGATTTTCATGACTATCAACTGAGCCGTGCTGAAATTTGTATTGAAACCAGAAAAATCCCAATGAGTAAAATTGTGATATTACAAATTAATGTAACAGGTAGCTTAGTATATTACAAATCCCAATGAGTAACTTGTGATATTTTCATTTGCCCAGTAACATTATGCTCATGGAAAGATTTTAAATTTCTATATCGCGATCGATTTCCTATCCCCAATCCCAGGTAATATACCAATGGGATGCGAACAGTGTTTTGCACGAATATCAACCGAATCGTGCTGAATTCTACATCGAAACCAGAAAAACTCTATTACGAATCGAAATTGCAATCAGAACTACATACAAACACTTCTCATCAACTAGCTGATCGTAATATTAGAATTACATAATAAAGTGACAACAGCAAACATCCAACGGGAATAGATGAATTCAAAATTAATTCAATAACAATCATAAAAAAAAAAAAAAAATCACGAAATTGAGCTAAAAACAATCCTATAGCTATTCAATTACCTTCTGTTCAATCTCCGGAATCTTCAACACCTTCAAATTCACCTCCCTTTTTCTGTATTCACAATAGACCAAACCGACTTCGTATTGTTATTCAATGCATACGAATATACGTAGCTGAACTCAAAATTTAAGAAAAAAAAAGGATATCATACATTTCGCGGACAGCTTGATCGAAGACCTTCATAAATGTAGTATCCAGCATCAAAAGGAAAAGTCAAAATTGGTGGGCTTAGCCACCATTATGGAAAGAAGAAAAATTGTCACACGCCTACAATGAAGAAAAATTGAGGAAGGTGCAGCCGGATTTTTTTTCTTTGTTCACATGGCATTTCCTCTCTATAAATAGAGGGGGTTTCAGCAGATGGAAATGCACCAAACAGAAAGAAAAAAAGGGAGAACAAGAGAGAGCAGAAATAATATTTCTGTGAGTATTATTTTTCAGTGAGAGAAAAATCGAGTGTTTGAGTAAATTCTGTGAGTGTGGGAAAAATACACCGGGTCGGGTATCATCTCTATTACTCCTTGTTTGTAATATTTGAATAGGAGTGGGGTCTCACTGGGTCACTATATTTTACATTTCTAGTATAGGGAAGTGTGAAAAGATATTGTAATTATCTTGAAAATATAGTGGAATTGTTCGGAGGTTGTCCCGTGGTTTTTTCCTCTACATTGGAGGTTTTTCCACGTTAAATCTTGGTGTCGTTTTTCTTGCATAATTTATTTCTTTGGGATATTCTTAGTATGCTCTGTGGTCGCAGTTTAATCTGATCTTCCACATCAGAAAAGAATTATTCCTGTTTTATTGCAAGAGATTTTCTTTTGTCATTCTTGAGTTGCTGGGATTATTATAATTATTAACTATTTTATTCCGGTATTTTAATTTACACCTTCCGCATTTGCGCATCTGAGCCCAACAAGTGGTATCAGAGCTCAAGTCGGGCTCTGTATCAACCAGTGTAAATTAAATGGAGGAGAACGTGGGTACCATGGTGAAGCTGACAGCAACAAATTACTCCATTTGGAAGCCAAAAATGGAGGACATACTTTTCTACAAAGATCTGTATGATCCTGTAGAAAAGGGAGATAACAAGCCAGATGACGTGAAGGATGACGATTGGAAAAAGTTACACAGGAAGGCTGTCAGTTTAATCAGACAGTGGGTGGATATCAGCATATTCCACCATGTTGCCACAGAGTCAAAAGCCCATACTCTGTGGAACAAAATTGAGCAGATGTATCAAAGGAAGACTGCACAAAATAAAGCTTTTATTATTAGAAAGCTTGTGAATTTAAAATATCGGGATGGAAGATCAGTTGCAGAACACTTGAATGAGTTTCAAGACATGGTAAACCAGCTTGTTACTATGGAGATGAAACTTGATGAAGAACTGCAGGCGCTGTTACTTTTGAGTTCTTTACCGGATAGCTGGGAGACTCTGGTGGTCTCGTTGAGCAACTCTGCTCCTGAAGGAAAACTGACTTTGACCCAAGTCAAAGACAGTATGTTTAATGAAGAAACAAGAAGAAAAGATTCAGGAGCAAGCAGCTCCCAAGCCCTGGTCACAGAAACCAGGGGGAGAAGTAAAAGCAGAGGCCGGAATAACAAATCCAGAGATAAATCACAATCTCAACCCAGAAGAAAATTCAAATGTTATCACTGCGGTGAAGAGGGGCATATCAAAAGAAACTGCAAAGCCTGGAAGAACAGAGATCGGAGGAATAACAAATCAGAGAACGATGAAAATACCGCAACCCCTGTGATCAATGGGGAAGTGGTGTTGCTCTCTGTTGAAGAAGAAGAGTGTCATGTTACAGATTCATGTGTTGAATGGGTCATTGACTCGGCCGCATCTTACCATGCCACCTCTCACAAGGAATTCTTTTCTCTATACAAAGAAGGAGACTTTGGTAGAGTAAAGATGGGCAACGACAGCATTGCAAATATTGTGGGAGTTGGTGATGTGTGCATTCAAACTGATATTGGGTGCACAATAACACTGAAGGACGTGCGACATGTACCTGACTTACGTCTGAATCTGATCTCTGTGCATGCGTTGGATCTAGCAGGCTACACTAATAATTTTGGTAGCGGCACATGGAGGCTTACCAAAGGATCATTGTTAGCTGCTAAAGGTACAGTGAGATCGACACTGTACAGAACTCAAGTGAAGCTGATCAAGGGTGGCCTGAATGCAGTCGAAGATGATGCTTCGCCAAATTTGTGGCACAAAAGACTGGCTCATATTGGTGAAAAAGGATTGCAAATTTTGGCAAGAAAGTCCCTCATCCCGTTTGCCAAAGATTCAAAACTAAATCCTTGTGATTATTGTCTCTTTGGGAAGCATCATAGAGTGTCTTTCAGCAAAACCTCGAAGCTGAAAGAGAATGTATTGGAGATGGTGTATTCTGATGTATGCGGACCCATGGAAGAGGAGAGTCTCGGTGGTAGCAAATATTTCGTGACGTTTATTGATGATGCTTCACGAAAATTGTGGGTGTATTTCTTGAGAACGAAGGACGAAGTTTTTCAGTACTTCAAAAGGTTTCACGCTATGGTGGAGAGACAAGCTGGTAAACCTTTGAAGTGTCTTCGCTCAGATAATGGAGGGGAATATACTTCCAATGAATTCAAGAATTATTGTGCTGATCATGGAATCAGGCATGAGAAGACTGTACCTGGAACCCCACAGCATAATGGTGTGGCTGAAAGAATCAATAGAACCATTATGGAGAAAGTGAGGTGTATGTTAAGAATGGCTAAACTACCTAAGCCATTCTGGGGTGAAGCTGTTCTAACGGCGTGCTACCTGATCAACCGATCTCCATCTGTTCCTTTGGGCTTTGATATCCCTGAGAGAGTATGGTCCGGACATGATGTTAAATACTCTCATTTGAAGGTGTTTGGATGCAAAGCTTTTGCTCACGTAAGCAAGGAACAGAGACGAAAACTTGATGATAGAGCCATTCCTTGTATATTTCTGGGTTATGGAGATGAGGAATTTGGCTACAGGTTATGGGATCCAGAAAAACGAAAAATTGTCAGAAGCAGAGATGTAGTGTTCCATGAGCAAGAAACTATGTCTGATTCTACTTTACCAGAAACTAAAGGACCAGGTGGTAAGGTGGATCTTTCACCTGTAGAACCTCCTAGAGATGCCACAGTAGGGGGAGAGTGTGATGGAGAACTCAGGGTTGATGATGAACCAGCAATTGAAGATGGTGATGATGAAGGTGTCGAGCAAGAAGACGTCGAAGCTCCGCTTCAACTCAGGAGATCAAATCGAGCGATCCAACCATCTACGAGGTACCCTAGTTCCACGTATATTACCATCACTGAAGAAGGGGAGCCAGAAAGCTTTGAAGAAGTACAAACTCATAAGGATAAATCTCAATGGATGAAAGCCATGCAAGAAGAAATGGATTCACTGGTGAAAAATAAAACTTATGAGCTTGTGAAGCTTCCGGAAGGCAGGAAAGCTTTAAAAAATAAATGGGTGTTCAAGCTTAAGAAGGATGGTGACAAGCTGTTGAAGTACAAGGCTCGCTTAGTTGTGAAAGGATTTGGACAAAAGCGAGGGATAGATTTTGATGAAATCTTCTCACCGGTTGTAAAGATGAGCTCTATTCGAGTAATACTCGGACTTGTAGCTAGCTTGGATCTGGAGCTTGAACAACTAGATGTGAAGACTGCATTTCTTCATGGAGACCTAGATGAAGAAATCTACATGGAGCAACCAGAAGGATTTGAGAAGAATGGAAAGGAGCACATGGTTTGGAGATTGAAGAAGAGTTTGTATGGACTGAAACAAGCTCCAAGACAGTGGTATAAGAAATTTGACTCGTTTATGGCGAGCCATGAATATACCAAGACTGATGCAGATCATTGTGTGTTCGTTAAGAAATTTCCAGGTGATAAATTCATTATCCTTTTGTTATATGTAGATGATATGTTGATAGTGGGACAGGATATGAAGCTGATTGGTGATTTGAAGAAGGATTTAGCAAAGTCCTTTGAAATGAAGGATCTAGGCCCTGCGAAACAAATTTTGGGCATGCAGATCATGCGAAACCGAAAATCGAGGAAGTTATGGTTATCGCAAGAACGGTATGTGAATCGGATTCTGGAGAGATTCAACATGAAATCGGCTAAGCCGGTCAATACACCGTTAGCCAATCACTTCAAACTCAGCAAACAAAGTTGTCCTACGAGTCAAGAAGGAAAAGAAGTTATGGCGGGTGTTCCATACTCCTCGGCAGTCGGGAGTTTGATGTATGCCATGGTTTGTACTAGACCAGATATCGCTCACGCGGTTGGAGTTGTTAGAAGGTATCTTTCCAATCCAGGGAAGGAACATTGGGAAGCTGTGAAGTGGATCTTGAGGTACTTAAAAGGTAGTGCAAATAAGTGCTTGAGCTTCGGCAAAGGAAACCCAGTTCTTGAGGGTTATACAGATGCGGATATGGCAGGTGACCTGGATAGTAGAAAATCTACTACAGGGCTTGTGTTTACATTTGCAGGAGGATCTGTATCTTGGCAATCTAAATTGCAGAAATCTGTTGCCTTGTCGACTACTGAAGCCGAGTATATTGCACTGACAGAAGCAGGAAAAGAAATGCTTTGGTTGAAGAGGTTTCTTCAACAATTGGGAATGAAGCAGGAAAGGTACGATATCCATTGCGATAGTCAGAGCGCATTGGATTTAAGTAAGAATGCGATGTACCACTCTCGCACGAAGCACATTGATGTCAGATATCATTGGCTACGTCAAGCAGTGGAAGAACAACAGTTCAAGTTGGAAAAGATTCACACTGACGAAAACTCTGCTGACATGATGACGAAAGTTGTAACAGGAGGAAAGCTTCAACATTGTGCCGAATTAATCGGCATGGAATGCATGTAAAGATCTGCAGTATATTTCCTTTTGGCTGGAGGGGGAGAATTGTAGTATCCAGCATCAAAAGGAAAAGTCAAAATTGGTGGGCTTAGCCACCATTATGGAAAGAAGAAAAATTGTCACACGCCTACAATGAAGAAAAATTGAGGAAGGTGCAGCCGGATTTTTTTTCTTTGTTCACATGGCATTTCCTCTCTATAAATAGAGGGGGTTTCAGCAGATGGAAATGCACCAAACAGAAAGAAAAAAAGGGAGAACAAGAGAGAGCAGAAATAATATTTCTGTGAGTATTATTTTTCAGTGAGAGAAAAATCGAGTGTTTGAGTAAATTCTGTGAGTGTGGGAAAAATACACCGGGTCGGGTATCATCTCTATTACTCCTTGTTTGTAATATTTGAATAGGAGTGGGGTCTCACTGGGTCACTATATTTTACATTTCTAGTATAGGGAAGTGTGAAAAGATATTGTAATTATCTTGAAAATATAGTGGAATTGTTCGGAGGTTGTCCCGTGGTTTTTTCCTCTACATTGGAGGTTTTTCCACGTTAAATC